TTTTATTTGTTTTTTTTTTTTTTTACATGCGTACATTCGAGCTAAATGCATACAGTTTATTTTATATTGAAGAAAAAAAAAATCCAACACCTGTCCATGTGTTGCAGAACTGCTTTAGTTCAACCACACTGGTGGGTTTTTGAGCATGAATTGCCAGTTTAAGAGCCTGCTTCTCAATTGGGTTCAAGTCAGAACTTTGACTAGGCCTCTCCAACACTTTAGCTTGCTTTTTTTTTTTTGAGCCATTCAGATGTGGACTTACTCCTATGCATTGGATCATCTTCTTGCGGTGTGATCCTGTTGGGCATGAGCTTCAATTTACAGACTGAAGACCGATTTCTCTCAATTATTTGTAAGTGTTCCAGGTCCTGAAGCATCCCCACACCAGTACATTGCCATAATGTTTTTTATGTGATAAATTCAGAACATTTTCCACAAAATTCAAATCAGCCTTAATGGGTTAGCAGTGCTTTTTCCTTGCCACTCTTCCATGGATGCCATTTTTTGGCCAATGTCTTTCTGATTATAAAGTCATGAACAGTTACCTTTATCCATGCAAGAGAGGCCTGCAGTTCCTTCAGTCTTTTGTGACTTCCCGTATAAGTCATTGCTGTGGTCTTGGAAGAATTTTGGAAGGTTGGACACTTCTGGGACGGTTCGCTACTGTGCCAAGTTTTTCCATTCAGATATAAAGGCTCTTTGGAGTCCAAGAGCCTTTGTAACCCTTACAGATAAATGTATTTCAGTCAGCCCCTTCCTCATCATTTTCGGTATCTCTTTCGCCTTTGGCATAGTGCGTTACTGGGTAAGACCTTTAACTTAATGCTGTTGAAAAAGTTGTATTTAAGCGTTAATTTAAATGAACAGGGCTGGTAGTAATTAAGCCTGGTTGTGTCTAGTCCAACTGAACCATATTATGCATGCACATTTGGGCATTAGTAACTACATGGGCAAATACATGTTCACACAGGGCCAGTTGGTAGTATTAACATTTGTGCCTCTCTCTCTCTCTTTCTCTCTCTCTCTCTCTCTCTCTCTCTATATATATATATAAACTGTTGGGTTTATTCAGATGTCTATGTTTTAGATTGTGTATATTCAAAAATTTAGTACGAGATATATAAACAGAACAAATCAAGATGGTGGCAAACATTTTCCGCATCGTTAACATATTGCATGAGATATATCAACTAAAAAGTAGAGTTCAAAATGAATAAAACGATATTACTTACAAATAACGCAAATTATCAAACGGTGGAACATATCTATAGTTAATGTGATGTGATTTCAGGTAAATTAAGAAACTTGTGATAGTCATCTCAATGTCAAAAAGTAGTCAAATTTTGTGTGGATTGTATATATATAAACTGTTGGGTTTATTCAGATGTCTATGTTTTAGATTGTGTATATTCAAAAATTTAGTACGAGATATATAAACAGAACAAATCAAGATGGTGGCAAACATTTTCCGCATCGTTAACATATTGCATGAGATATATCAACTAAAAAGTAGAGTTCAAAATGAATAAAACGATATTACTTACAAATAACGCAAATTATCAAACGGTGGAACATATCTATAGTTAATGTGATGTGATTTCAGGTAAATTAAGAAACTTGTGATAGTCATCTCAATGTCAAAAAGTAGTCAAATTTTGTGTGGATTGTCTATGACGGGTTTTCAAACCTCTCCATGAAGTACCCCCAGCACTGCACATTTTGTATGTCTCCCTGTATCTGATCAACCCACTTCAGGTCTTGCAGTCTCCACTAATGAGCTGATGAGTTGAATCAGGTGTAATAGATGAGGGAGACATACAAAACGTGCAGGGCTTGGGGGTACGCCAGGACAGGTTTGAGAACCACTGGTCTATGACGTCAGTGGTGCTCACACCAGTTTCCAGGCTGCAGACACGAGGCCCCGCCTCTATCCTGATCGTTGCTATGAAGGAATCTCAACTGTCCAACCCGTTGCTCCAACTAGCCCATCCTGCCGCAGGAGGCGGGACTTGCGGGACAAAAACACACGATGCTCGTCAGATACCGTCACGTACACCAGCGGCACAGCCGGATGTTTTGACAGCAGCAGCAACTGACCGAAACCCACGGTATTTTATCAAGTGACCTTGCCGGCGGACTGTGCATCAGGAGGCGTTATAAACATCCACCTCACGGTAACGAACATTGAGCTTTGTCAAGAGACTATTGTTTAATGAATACTGTTATTGTTAGGCAAAGTTGCTTATTCTGCATGGGTTTAGTTGTTAAACAAGACTATTTGTGTGTCCATCTCAGGAAAAAACTGAAAATGCCGCTGGGTGAAGAGAAGAACGGGGCTTGCGATAGGTACGAATGAAAAAATCTTCATTATTCCCTTATTCTTTATATGTACGTGGACTTTCAGCCCTTCTGTTTCATATGTCATTCAGTAATGTATGTAAGGGTTTTATATTTGTTACTCAAATATAACTGGAGAAATATAACTGGAGAAATGGCATTCATTCGCTGGAAACAAATGTTGTTCCATAAGGAAAAGTTTCATGTAGTTCTATGAGAAGCGTTACAAAACGGAAATCATGTTCCTGTCAGCGTTCTCACGACCACTGAGTTACATAGTCCTGACTTTTATTATGTTATATTGTGTGGTTAAAGTGTTACTTTAAACAGGTCTCCAAACAGTAGGAACAATAACCAGCAGCTGTCCCGTTTGATATAATTGCTCAACTTATATTTTCCCTGCATAGGTCCATATATGTGAACAATCCTCATTTAGACTCCATGACCGATGACATCCTTTACCATTTTAACCTGGGAACATCCACTCACGACTTGCCAGCCATGTTTGGAGATGTCAAAGTAAACTTCAGTTCTTTTCCATACTAAAATACTCCTCTAGAATGATCCAGGTCTGTCTAACTCACTTGGTTGTACGTTTTGTGTCAGTTTGTGTGTGTAGGAGGAAGTCCATGGAGGATGAAGTCTTTCATTGAATACATTGCCAAAGAACTGGGGCTATCAGAGCCTAATGCTGATTACCCAAATATATGTGCAGGAACCGATCGCTATGCCATGTACAAAGTCGGACCTGTGCTGTCTGTCAGTGTGAGTGAACTCAAACTCATTCACATGTACACTTCCATTCAAAAATTTGGGGTCAGTAAGTTTTTTTTTTTTTTCCCATAAGAAATTAATACTTTTATTCAGCAAGGATGCATTATATTGATTAAAGGTGACAATAAAGGCACTTATAATGTTACAAAAGATGTCTAATTCAAATAAACGCTTTTCTTTTTAACTTTTTTTTATTCATCAAAGAATCCTAAAGAAATCTATCACGGTTCTAATATTTGTTTACATGTGCATTAACAGTGCCCAGTCACTGTAATCTGTATGTTAGAATAGCTTTTTAAGCAAATATTTAGTAAATATTCAGAGATGTAAACAAACATATGCACATTTGGGTCAACATCACCCCTTTCAGTTTGAAATTTAATTCGGATCAAGCTCAGTCAGATTGATTAAAGCATGAAGATTTTTTTAGTCCAATAGAGCCATCAGTCAATTAAAAACATTATTGGGGGTGCATGTAAACATAGCTAATAATACTGGAGTAATTGCTGAGAATTCAGCTTTTCCATCACAGGAATTAGTTACATTTTAAAATATATTCAAGTAGAAGTCTGTTTACTGTTTTAACTGTATTTTTGATTGAATAAATCTTACTGACCTCAAACTTTTGAATAGAGTTGTAGTGTTTTTGTGTATCAGTGGCCATCAAACACCTTTAATTACAGTGCCTTTGTATTTTTAAATGCATCATTGCAAGTAAAGATTGTTAACATTGAATTTTCCTTGTGTTCTAGCATGGCATGGGCATCCCATCTATCTCTATAATGTTGCATGAGCTTATCAAGCTCCTGTATCATGCCCGCTGCACTGATGTCACCGTAGTGCGCATTGGAACGTCAGGTGGAATAGGTACACTGCTTTCACCATTAAACTGCTTAATCAAAAGGGTGTTTCCATGCTTTCGAAATCAGCCCCAACCTCACCCTGATGTTGTAAACCATGGGTTTTGTGAATCATTTCCTGACTATTTGTTTTCTGACTGAGCTGTTTTTTTCTGTCTGTCTTTTGTCAGGATTAAAGCCAGGGACTGTGGTGGTTACCAAACAGTCAGTGGATTCTGTGTTTCAGCCTCGTCTTGAGCAGATCATCCTGGGTAAACCAGTGGTCAGGAGCACAGAACTCGATGGGGAACTCGCAGAGGAGCTGCTTCAGTGTAGCAAAGACCTTGCAGAGTTTGAGACTGTCATTGGTAACACAATGTGCACCCTTGACTTCTATGAAGGTATAAATATTTATATATTATTATTATTATTTTTTTTGCATGGTTGGGGTTTGCTGCTTTTGAACGCTCTGTCTTGGTACAGGTCAAGCTCGGCTGGATGGGGCCTTCTGCTCATACAGCGAAGAAGATAAACAGAGCTATCTTGCCGAAGCCTATGCCGCTGGAGTTCGTAACATTGAAATGGAGTCATCGGTGTTTGCGGCCATGTGCAAACTGAGCAATCTTCGAGGCACGTCATTTTAATACAACATCTCTTTAAGTTAATGAGTAATACTTGCGCAAGATTGTGATATTTCATTGGTTGTGTAGGTTAATACAGAAAAGCCTTTATGCATGGGAAATGGGTGCTAGAGGTTTATGACTTTTATTGCAATTTGCTTGAGTCATTTTGCCTCTTGTCACACATTAAACCTGCTGATGGGTTATGTGATGATATTGAATAATTTTTTTCCTGTTTCTTCAGCTGCGGTTGTGTGTGTAGCACTGCTGCACAGACTGAAAGGAGACCAGCTGACCAGCTCTCATGATGTCCTGAATAGCTACCAGCAGCGACCTCAGGTCTTGGTTGGACATTACATTAAAAAGAAGCTGAATGCCTCTAAGAAAAGCTAGTTAGTTTGAAAGCTCTTCAATAAAACTTTGAGAACAGTCCCAGGTGAAGGTAGGAAAAAATATAGTGAAGTTTTGATCAGGACAATGATTTTTTTGAATATACTGTATGGCAAAGCAGCTCGACCAAGATAACAGAAATACCTTTGAATTTTTCTAACATGCTCATGCAAACTCATTCCTTGAATGTAATACCTTAATTTCCTTGTTTTAAATTGGTAATAAGCACATTATGTTCTAGACGATTTGATTTGTCTTAAATACCAGATATTTATTATTGTTTTAAAAGGCACTGTATTAAAACTACTCCTGATTAAGTAGTTGTGTAAAAGGGAAAGATGTTATAAAAAGAGAGAGAACTAAGCGGTTTTAGCACTAGTTACATTAAAAGGGTCCAGAGAGCATTTTCAAAAAACGGTAGACCTCAGTTTGTTGGTCTATGTTACAAACAATTCGTTTGTAAAATTGTACTGTAATGTTCACAAATGTCTTAAATTAAATGTTCACAAATTAATTATTACATAATATTTCTCCTTAACATGGATAGTATTGTTTTATTCCTGTAACTGAATGTTTTGTTATACAACATTATTAAAAATAAAACACAAAGATTTTTTAAGGATTAGATTAATTTATTTTTATTCAGCATTAAATTTTAAAAAACTGACCCTTATGACTGGTTTTGCGGTCCAGGGTCATAATTAATAACATTAGAATATTAAAATAAGCATATGCAATAAAGAATATTAAAAGAATAATTCACCCAAAAATGGGAAATTTATTAAAAAATGTACTCAACCTCACACCATCCAAGATGTAGCCTACTTTGTTTCTTCATCTGAACAGATTTGGAGAAATTTAACGTTACATCACTTACTCACCAACAGATCCACTGCAGTGAATTGGTGTCATTAGAATGAGAGTATACAAACAGCTGATTAAAAACAATAATCCACAAGTGATGTAAGTAAGTTGAGTGTAATAAACAAATCCATCATGATGTTTTTTTTTTTTTACCTCAAACCATTGCTTTCAGTTAAATAAGAGTCCTCTGTCCTGCTTTCTCCAGTGAAAATGTTGTGTTGTCTGAATCAGGAGAGAAATATGCACAGACCAAGCACTGTTTACAAGCGGTGGGAAAAACAGTTCAAAGCAGTTCTAAACAAATATTTCAGTGGATTTTGATGTGAGGAAACTTTCTACTGGAGGAAACGTTATGAATTATGGACTGGTATTTTGGCCATATGCTACGATTTTAAGTTAAAACTCCTTAACGATGGATTTGTTTCTTACAAACACACAGCTTTTCACTTCACAAGGTGTTTTGTGATTGACTGGAGTCGTGTGGATTACTCGTGGATTATTGTGATGTTTTTATCAGCTGTTTGGACTCTCATTCTGACGACACCCATTCACTGCAGAGGATCCATTAGTAATACAATGCTAGATTTCTCCAAATCTATTCACATTAATAAACAAACTCATCTTGAAGGTGCGTACATTTTTATTTTTGAGTGAACTATTCCTTTATTAGAAACTTATGGCTCAGAGTCTCAGAGCCTACTAAGTTGCCTTGACAGCATTTATGTTAGTATTCATGTGACATTTAAAAAAAAATTTGAATGGTGGTTTTGATCTTTATGATTGTGTTCAGTTATCATCAAATCATACAATGTCATAATTTTAATATATTACATGTTGCTGCATGAATTCCCAGTTATAAAAATGTAACGTTCCTTAAAATTGTGAATTCAAATAAATAACATCATTTGCACACAAGTAAATAATCTCATTCCTCCATCTCAGTGTTTACACAAATTGTAATTAGGGGTTCAAGCACGTAGTGCTGAAACCCTATTGTAATTGTAAGGATTTTTATTTATTTTTATTCTTCTCCTGATAGTGCAGCCCAAACCGTAAGGCCTAGAGAGCTGAAACTTGGTCAGATCGTAGTAGTATTGCTCGCTACTCAGATCCAAAGACTCGCCCTAATCGGCCTAAAGGTGGCGCTACAGTGCAAAAAACAAAAATTTCAGACATTTTTGGCCCTTGCTCGTACACCGTTTGTCGTAGACTCAAAAACTTTACATCATTGCAATCCTTGGGTCAAGCCGAACGAAAGTGAAGTCCAACAGATTCGCTCTACGACATACGTTTTTTCCGCAACAAAAATTTCAGACATTTTTGGCCCTTGCTCGTACACCGTTTGTCGTAGACTCAAAAACGTTACATCATTGCAATCCTTGGGTCAAGCCGAACGAAAGTGAAGTCCAACAGATTCGCTCTACGACATACGTTTTTTCCGCAAAATTTGTAAAAAAAAATACTTTTACAAACTAGTTCTAGGTTTTTCGCCCGATCGGAACCAAACCACTGCAGAAATATTCTCTGGACAGTGAATATCAATAATTATCAAAAAAAGTTGAAATTTCGATTTTCGTGCGCAACAAGTCAAGTCACCTTTATTTATATAGCGCTTTTAACAATACAGATTGTGTCAAAGCAACTGTACAGCATTAATTAGGAAAATATTGTGTCAATAATGCAAAATGACAATAGTAAACACTCAATTTTCAGTTAAATGCAGTTCATCATTGAATTCAGTGATGTCATCATCCAGCTCAGTTCAGTTTAAATAGTGTCTGTGCAATTAAGTCGACGATATCGCTGGAAATTAAGTGTCCCCAATTAAGCAAGCCAGAGGCAACAGCAGCAAGGAACCAAAACTCCATCGGTGACAGAATGGAGGAAAAAACCTTGGGAGAAACCAGGCTCTGGAGTTGATTATACAATTCTGTGGAGATTAATCATGGCTTCTATGCAGTACCATTACAATCACGGATGGTTTGATTTTGTTTTGAGGAATGCAGAAACTTTGTGATGAGTAATAAATTATTTTTAATAACTGATAGTGTGATTATATATCTTTAAACACTGGAAAAATAATTCTTGATTTCTGTTGAGGTTACATTTTGTCTTCGTCTTCTTTTTGTCTAATAAACTTATGAAACAATGTTCTTTAATATTTAGATCTTGAACATCAATACATGTCTTTTCTCTTCATTAAAACAATTAATTTCTAAATCTCCACCTAGTCTGGTGTTTCTGAAAAAGACAGACAGTAATTAACTAAATGTCAGATTTTAATAATAGAGCGCACAGCAGACGCCTCTCCCGAAATGACAGAGACTGAGCAGTGCCCACACAGAGAGCTCTCTGAACACTGCAGCATGTTTCCCATGATTACTGTAATAATAATAATAATAATAATAATAAAACACAACACTAACACATTAGCTAAAAGGGAATTTCCCTGCACACTGTGAGCTGTGTGTTTATGTCTGATTTGTATGTCTTTAATACTCATTCATAGAGTTAAGCCTGAAAAGC